ACTATATATATATATATATATATATAAAGTTGTTTATATATATATGAAAATTTCCTATTGGTCGTTTTTTTTTTCTTTAAGTTGCCCGACGATTTTTTTTTTCCATTCTAACTTGCCCTTTTGTCTAACAATATCAATATCAAATATATGATAAACCCTGCACGCTTCTTAAATGCATTGTGGTTAAATTAAAGAAGGGGACGCACTACTGTGGGGAGTATAGTACAAATTTACTCCCTCAGTAAAAAGACCAACTTGGGATGACTTTTATTAATTTAAAATTTTCGAACTACCTAATTATCACAAGATGATTATTTTCAGAAGTTAATATTTTAAATTCAAAATAATCCTCCCCAAATAGGTAAAAACCATCCCAAATAGTTATTTTTACAGAGGGAATAAACTTATATTATATTCCGCCAGGAGTACGTCCCCTTCTTTAATTTAACCACAATGTATTTAAGGACCATGTGAGTTTATCTTTAGTGTTGTTATTGTCAGCCTGGAGGGCAACTTAAAAAAATAAATAAAGTGTCACGGGAGAGGAGTGGTCCTGATAATTTTCGAAAGAAATAACATTAAATGGTAATAAAAGAACACAAAATATAATAATATGTAAAAAGCTATTTTTTGTGGGCAGTTCGATGGGGAGGAGTTTTCTACCTTTAGTAGGAATGTAACTCAAAATATTGTATTTTTTATTTATATCATATAACTTGCACTTATTAAGTACTGCTCTTTAAAAAAAATTAATTGTAGCATAATTTCATACTTTCTCTATTTAAATAAAAAGTTTATCATTTGGAAGAAGAAACTAAAAGAATTTTTATTCCAAAACTCTGGAGCAGAAACTCTAAATCCACCCATTCCAATTGTTTTCTAGAGAGAGAAAGGAGATACGGTTTCTCACCATCAAGGTACGCGCCTTAATCCGAGCAGCTGCCTTCATGGCGGCCATAAGGTGCTCTTCTTCTTCCATTCTCTTCCTTCTCCAAAACCTCTCAATCTCAGCCCTTGTTATGCTCACTCCAACGGTGGATTTCGCAGCCTTTCCCGGAAAAATCTTATCATAGTCCTTTTTTTCCGACATTCCGCCGAAATTCTTAGTCACAGGCTTCACAAGCATGGTCCAAACAAACATTCAAAAGAGATGGTAGCTTTGTAGGAAGAAGAAGAATAACAAGTTGAACAAAGAGCGCCTTGCCATGCCTCGTGATTAAGAATTCTCTCTCTCTCTTCCCTTATCTACTACTCTAACCTACCGTTCAATCTAACAGCAGTTGATGATGCATGCACGTCCATATCATTTCCTCTAACTACCCACCTCATTTACTTACTCCCACCCATCGTTCATAAAAATAGGCGGGTCGACCCGGGCCTTTCTGGGTTATTTGGACTGGCTGTACCCGGCTTTGGTGGTCAAGCTCGGGATCCTAAAAAACTATCAAAAAAGTTTATTAAAAAATCCAATAATAAAAAAAAAATTTCTTTCTAATGTACTTTTTTAATTGGAAAGTATTTTAGCCAGGAATATTCATTTTTACATTTTCCTGTCTTAAAAACATTTTCACAAATTATTGATCATCGACATTAGAGCTTTTTTCCAACTATTTGTGTTCGGCTATATGATTCTTAATTCACCATTCTGCTCTAGTAAGAATCATGCTCTCAGTGAGGCCATAAATCTTCATATTTTTTCTCACTATTTCTAAGTTCCAATCATGTCTTTTTGGATCTCTGACCCTTTTTGAGCCTTCCACTTGAACCAACTCGTATTTCCTAACAGGTGTTGTACTAGGTCTGCAGTGCACATGTTTAACCCAACTAAGTATACATTCTCTCATCTTATCGTCTATTGGAGTCCCCTAATCACGAATTAAATTTCAAATTTTATTTTATTTAAATGCACTTGTTTAATTTCACTTTAAACACAATTTTTTTTTTTTTTTTTTTTTTTTGAGATTATTTGTATTTTTTTGGTTTTTTAACACTTTTTAGCTTGCCCGATATACCTGCCCGACTCGATCAAGGTTTCTCGGACCTAGTCGGCCTGGCCCAAGGCCAAGAGCCGTGCCAAGTCATGGTTTCCTACACTGGTCCCACCAGGACATTTGAGAAGGACGGACACTTCGAAACAAGTTAAATTTTCTATAGTCCGTGGATTAGCTTACGGACAAAATGATAAGGGATAATATACCATGATCGTTGCCGTTCATGCAATTTGCTTGATGAATGGATTGCATGATGAGAGAGACGGATCTCTATTTCGTGGCCATACATTCATTGATCGGATGGTGGAGGGACCATAAAGCATAGGCTTTTGATCACATTATTCCATCCTACAGTGTGCCTCCCGCCTACTCGTCCAAAAGCCAAGGTTCATTATAAAAATAAAAAAAAGAAATTTTTTTTATAGAACCCCAACTCCTCGTATTATTCACGATAGACTCTCATTTTGTTTTTCTTTCAAGCGGCATAAAAAAATCTCCAAAATTTTTACCGTACCTCTCATCTTTTATCTCCTTCTTTTATTGACTTTCGATCATAAAAATTAATTCCAATATATCTTTTTATACCATTTCAACCCAAAAAAAATTTTAACTCTCTTTTTTCCTTTCCACTTATTAAAACAAAAAATTGAGTTGAAATAGTAATAATAGATGAAGGGATAAAATGAAATCTTTAAGGGTTTCATTAAAAAAAAATTTGAGTTGAAATGATGATAAAGAGATGAACTGGTAAGGCGAAATCTTTAGGAATTTCATTAAAATTAAAATTGAGTTGAAATGATGATAAGAGATAAAAAAGTAAAGTGAAATATTTTAGATTTCTTTGTACCGCTTGAAAGAAAAACGGGAGAGAGCCTACAATGAAATAATATGATGAATTAAAGTCTGAGTGAAATTTTCCCCAAAAAAGTGGCACGGTCCGAATCAGCCAATTCGGGTCCTTCCTGCTTCCTTAAAAGGGTCGTGCCTCGACCCGTTTTTTAGGCTCATCTATTTCACCAATGGTTTAAAAAACGGATCGGTGACCCGGATAGGGCACCCAAAAAACTGATCCGGATCGGCGAATCGACGATTCGGATCGGGAATCGGGTGAATCGGTCAGAATAAAGCTTAAAAAAAATCCGAAAAAATTATTAAAATTCATTATAAATATTGTTTTTTAGGAATTCAATAAGAAATGAGGGTACTCCATTAAATTTTCATGTTTTTGAATGAATATGCGAATATTGATATGTTCTTTCCCTGCATAAACCGCCATTCAGCATTTAATTTACATCACACAAAAGGATAAACATAGAATTATCATGAAATAAGTATATCAACATACATGGACTACAATAAAGCATAAAATTAGTAACATATGATCTAAAAATAAAATGATAGACGACGTTATTGTTCTTCTTGGTCACGCTGGTGCCATTGATTGAATTCGTTTAACAATTCATTGATTCGATCTAAAAATGAATCATCGATATTAGCAGGCGTCTGACTATTCCCAAATCCTTGAGTGTTAGTGTTTTGTTGTGTTCCCAATCTAAAA